GACTGTTACGACGGAAGAGCTCAAAGTTCGGTGTCATTGGCGCAGTGATTTTGAATCGCTCAATAGTAAGCCAGCTTGTGGTTTCCTTTAGAATTTTATGTACAGAATACAGTAAGATCATGAAAGCAAATTTGCTTGATTGATTGTTGCATACATCATGCAGTCTGCTTCAATCCCAATTGCACATGTATTTTGATGACAAAACACTTCGAAGTACAGTATGCACGTACATTTCCGCTGTGTTGGGGAGGGGATCTAAGGGCAGAAGCGGCAATCTCGCTATCCCACATATCTATGTCATTCTTTTTCTATTTTGTAAAAAATGGTATACCCTAATACTTGAGTGTAATGGATAGCACACTGCCATACAAACTGAGATTTTCATTGTTTTATGCGATCCCCACGGGGGTTTCCAAAGTCGCGTATCATCCCGTAAACGCATTGAAATCGCTGTAAAGTTGTACTGAGGAGCTAATATGCAATGCTAAGCATGTTCATTGCAATAGAATCATGTGAAATCCCAGGATATTGTACTTTTGGATAGACCACTGTTCGCTACCTGAATTTTATCGAAAAACAAACCTGCCGCTTTGTCCCATCGAAGCATTCCTAGGAGTGTCATAGTATTCTAGTACAGCTTTACGACATTTCGAGTTCCTGAAAAGGCACATACTTTGAAAAATAGAAATTGTTCTCTAGGGATCCCTAGGGGATCACACAAAAGTGATCTCAGTTTGTACGGCAATGCTCTGTTATTCATTATACTCATTTATTAGTGTACCAGTGTCAGGTATGAAGCGTCCGTTAACACATTGACGACCGCTTGACACATATGATGTGTTAAGGTTTGCATTTGGTATTATGAAGACTATTTTGAGAAAAATCATCCAGGTCTTGCTGGCAGGTCATAAGCGCTTTGTCATGAGGTCGCGAAGAACCAAGATCCTACATCTAGGCCCTCTCAAGCCTTTCTTCACGTAAATTCTTGACAAAGTTGCCACCGCGACTTTGAGGAAACCCCATCGACATTCAAGGTTTTAAGTATCTCTCTACAGGAAAATGATGAGAAGCACAGGAGGAGCTCGTCGAAATTTGCGAGTTGGCAGCTGCCGGCAGGTCAGAGAGCACAAGAAATAGCGTCTGTTTTGAGAGAAAAGTTGCCTGCATTTTGACGTGCCCCTATAACGTCGGAGTGCCAACACCTTGGGTGGCGGCGTCCGTGAGTTTGGGTATTACGGTATATTACACAATTGACGTCAGCCAACGGTAAAAAAATTCGACTTTTCTCAAAAATGATCATTTATATTATTACCCGGGATTACCTTGATCAAAATTTATGAAAGTGTAAAAGGTAATTTGATTCCACAGCGAGACAGTGGTAAGCATCGTCTCTTTTCCTTCATTATCTCGCAGTAATTTCGCGTGCCAGTCATCTGTGTCGATCAGCTGTTTTTGAATAACGCGCAGTATTGATCATACCCTCTTTGGGCGCAGCTTGCCTATGCCTTCCTACCTTTGTTCTTCGAGCAACAATATGCGCCAGCGTGGTAGATCGGTTGTCGAGGTGGCACTCGAACTCGATGCATGGAAGTTTGAGCTCGCGATGGGATAGTTTTGCGACGGTTAGGCAGTGGTCAATCCCTGTCCTGCTGCTGGAGTTGGCTTCAGTAATTGTGGCCAATTTGCCGACATTTATGATGCCACTAGGTTGGGTAGATTAACATCGGCCCAGGAGCTCTCTCCTGCGCTGGATTCAAAAATAATCTCCATTTGTTCTGACTACCTTACGGAGGCACTGTAGATACACTGTAGATGGCAGTAGGCGCGATTTTATCTGGAAATATTGATTGATTCTTGGCAGATTCTGGTCCCAAAGCTCAAAATTCGCATTATCGTCGTTGTAAATAAATAAATTTTGAGCAAACAGTACAAATTTGACTTGCATGCTGGTGAGCAAACATGCATTCGCTATTGCAACCGTAAGCGAACCGTAAGCGATCTTCAACAATGGCCTTTTGTTCTCAGCCTCGCAGCGACTTAAAGTTGTGAGAGCCAAGTCGCTGGAGCTATGCCCTAGTTTCCAAGGGTCAGGTACGGTTTTCAGTAAGTACGAGGAAGCTGTGGAAACCCAAAATCCTCCTATGTTCTTAATCTTATCAGCTCTTGCTTTCATGAGGACTTTAATTTATTTACGGCGATTGGGCAAGGTTATGAAGAAGGTCACCGAATTCATAAGCGCTAATGCTAAAGATTGGTAGCAAAAGCGAAAAAGTGCCAGTTTTGAGGTTTGTATTCTTTACCTATGTGATCAAGTGATTTTAGCGACAACCATCCAGACTCCACCAGATCACAAAGCCTGTGATCAGCAAGTGTATGAGAGAATACGTGAACATTGTTACCACACCTGCCGTCTATCTGGGCATCTTCGTCATCTATGTCGGATACCTGGCTTTCAGCATTTACGTAGGAGCTATTTGAATTGAACTGAAGCTCTTTTGATTTGTGACTTTTAGGGAGTAACCATAATCAACATAAGCTTGACTGTAAGTAAATTGTTTGCTGCAGACTCCCCGTTGCTGGAGGTGATCACTCATACATCTACTACAGTAAGTGCAAAGAAAAGCTCACAATTTTAGCTGGATTACTATCGGGTGAAATATCAATTGCCCGCGTATTCGATGGCGACAGTGTTTGTCTCAAACCCTGGAAACCTATCAGACCCACATAGACTTCGACGAATCAACCAGTACGTATCCATTACTCTGCTGGTATCGTACTTCAAGTTCGACTAGGAAGAGAAATGTTTGCATCAGTACAAAGCAACTACTCGATAAACAAAATAGACGAAAATTTGTATGTAAAAGCTCTGCGGAGTTGAAGCGCACATTTAATGAATTTGATTCATCGTACAAA